GTGGGGCCGGGGAGGTGTTGGCTAAACCCCGTGTGGCTAGGTTAATAGGCTCCAGCTGGCGCCGGGCAGGGAGAGGACGAAGAGGCGAGCTTCGGGTAGCCACGATCAAGGGGAGCAAGTCAGCCAGGAAGGAAGTAGTGAGGAAGGAAATCCTCCGGGCAGGCCTAATCAGCTGTGAGGGCCTGGGCTCCCCAGGGTCATACAGCTCACAACAGTGCGAAGGAACGAGTGAATGAATCCCTTATGAGACAGTCTGTTAGTAGAGCTCCAAACATTTAGTTTGCAAAGGTTCCAGCAATGTGAACACCTCAATTAGAAGAGCAGTCTTTTTTATAGAATGTATTAGTATGCCTTTGTAATACATACCATCCATCACGGAGCACATACACATATTGCATCTTGAGGCTTTTTTTAAAAATAGTAATAAAGTAGGCCTTCATCACTGGTTAGACAGCCCCTTTATGTTTCAGTTTATGAATAGACATATTGTTTTCCTCTTACTGCCTCATACCTGACAAGAGTCTGTCCTCTAACATGTATTTCTTCACCAATACCCCAATTGAGAAGGAGAATCAAGTTTGCCCAGCTTTTAAAGTTGTGATGGCAAACCTTTTAGAGACCCAGTGCCCAAACTGCAACCCAAAACCCACATATATTGCAAAGTGCCAACATTGCAATTAAACCTAAATACTGAGATTTTAGCTTAGGAAAAAACAGCTCATGCGTTAACATCTTTTGTCTTGAAAACAACACACGTGCCATAGTTCATCACCGCTGTGTTAAAGCATTGAAATCAAGATCATCTCCAACCACCTAATTCTTTTAAAAAAACAGCACAGGAAGGGGGCTGTACATGTATCACTTCAGTGCACCATTATTATAAAAGTAGATGCTCTATTCATCCCTATTTATACATGAGGAAAGCGAAACACAGAAAGGTAATGTGATTTGGCCAACTGGCAAACGATCAAGTCAAAATTTGCCTTCAGGCCTCTGACTCTAGAGTGCATGCTGTTAACTACAGGGCATGCTGACCTCCCATTACCCTGGCCCAAGGAGAGCTCTGCTCTGCCCAGCTCGCACCCTGCTCTGCTTGGCTTGTGATTACCATGTGGCAGTGGAATGAGACAGCTTGCCTTTCATGGTGCGGGACACTTTAAATAAACTCTTATAAAAAGTTGACCAATTTAAAAGTCCATACTTGTCTTTTAGTTATCTTGGGAACTGATTACTCTTATACCTTATGTTTTCAAATATTTCAGAGGTTCATGCCACTTCAGATACAAACTTTGGGTCTGGGGTTTAATTGCATTTTTTTTTCTAATCTAATTAGTCTATTGCAATTTCATGGGTGCTAGCAGAAATCCCAAAACTCCTAAGTCAGAAACAAAAGACTGTTACAACATAACAAGCCACCTGAGCTTCATGTGTACATCAATTCATCTTGCTCCCAAATGCCACAGGGGTGACGGGAAGGACCCAATAAACACCTGCCCTCACTATGGATTGCATTAGAGGACAGAAACACTTAGCTTGGAGATGCCACTGGTTTTACAGTAAGCAGAAACAAGATTGCTCTTTGTCTCAGATTACCTCAACCTTGAAGACAGTTTAGTGCAAATCAATTCTGAGAAATAACCCAGATAAAAGAATCACTCAGCATATCCAGCAAGACATATGAGAATATGAGAGACTCTGGAGGAGTGTTTTCTAAAACAAATGTTTGGTTTATGCACTTGTGAATTTTCTTCTGTTTTTTGGAATTTTATTATCTCATTTAAACTCAGAATGATATAAAATATGGGTCCTCTTGCCCTTTTACTTGTTTACAGCAAAAGATTGTGAGGAAAACACAGCTTTGGAGCCAGAGGACCTCTTGGAATTCTAGCTTTTCCATTTACTTGGCCAAGTCATTTAACACTCTCTTCTAGAGCCTCAGTTTCCTCATATGCATAATAGTAATATCTACCTTACATGATGCTGTGAAGATCAAATGAAAACGAAACGGAGGGGAAAACTAAACCTACCAAAACGTCCATCTGATGAATAAACAAATGACCACACAATGGACATATCAGTACAAAGGAATGAACTGCCAATACAAGGAGCATCATGGGTATATCCGACATGCATTATGCTAATTGGCGAAGCCAGACTCAAAAGGCTATTACACCATATGATTCAATTTATAGAATGTTCTGCAATGGACAAAACTATAAGGACAGAAAATAGATTAGTGGTTGCCAGTGAGGAGCTGACTACCAAGAAGCAGTGGGAAATTTTTGAAGTGATTAAACTGCTCTATGTCTTGATTGAACTAAGATTGCAAAAAACTCCACTAAAAAAGAGTGAATTTTACTCTGCATAGATCATGACTCTAGTTGGTTTTATTTATTTCTTTATTTAAATGAAGGCCCAGCAGTGCGGCCCTGGTGACAGGAGAGAGTCCGAGCCTTTCCAGGGAA